CAACGTGTGTCCCTATCCTCCCGAGTTCTTACGTAGCAGTTCAGCCGAACAGCACATAAACGACTGTTAACGGGGATCCACTCTAACAGTGCTTGTTCCGCCCTCATGCTTAGTGCTATGTCTACACCTGCCAGTCCACGAGAACTGGCCATCGGGTCACCAGATACACGGAGGGTGTATCTCGTTGGCTCTCCGTTTTGCCGAGGTGAGGTCAAGTGAATGACCACACTGGGATCCTGTATGCGTGTTTCAGAGACACAGCATACATCAATGGTACGAGATTCTAGGGTTCTAGCCAAGGAAGCCTGTTGACCGATTTGACATAGAGTGCGTACGTTGAAAGCTCCAATGTGTAGTTTGGAGCGAGGTTTCAGTAGACCTGGGACAGTGTTTTGAGCACTAGAATCGTTGGCTATGGTGACACTTGAGGAGGGATCCGAAAAATGAAGTTTAGAAGTGAAAGTCGATGTAGGAGGAATAATAGGAATTGAAGAGGAAGGCTGATTATGAATACAGAGGTCCTGAGTGCTGTTAGAGGTATGAGGGCGGTTATCATTTCCCGGTTGCCCACACCGTGGAAGGGTTGTTCTGGAGGTACCGGAAAAGGAAATCGGATTAGAGGTGGTCTTAGTGACCTGGGAGCGTGACCGCGGTGTCCAAGGGACAACTGCTTGAGGTCGGTCACAAATGGCCGTTTATGGGTAATTTTTGCGTTAGCTCCGTACTTGTTGAGACCTTACCGCCGGAGACGGATATCCGTGGGATAAGGCGAAGTGTGCATTTTTAGGGTCGACCTTTTCTAACTCCACCCCTTCTTGTGGGAAGGCAGCATCGCTGTCATGCTGGTTGTCTGAAGGAAACACCTTACTGCTGTCACACCTCTGTACAGTCAGCAGTACGACTTCGCCTTCGGACCTTGGGTTTGTTGCTTTTAGTCTTACCGCCTATCAACCGACCTGTCTGACATGGTAGGACCTTGAGGAACGGTTGTTTCAGCCAGTATAGCTCGGTTGCTTCATCACGATAGGCAAGCCCGACCACCACGTCAAGGTAGCAACAACTGTCGGGACATCCAGATCGACTTTTAGGCAGTTAACAGGAAAGTATTAGTTGTAGTACTTACATATATAGTACAACGTGTGACGATGGATTTTAAGGTTATCTATACTGTATGAGTGATTTATGTGTTAAAAGAGGCTTTGAGATGTGGATGGACTAAATATGCTATTGGATTTTCAAAGTTCATATTTTTCTTCGTTGACTTTTGATAGAATGATACTCAGAAGTGTTTACGAGCTTGAAAGTAACATACGTAAGAAAATGACTAATTTAGTTTATCTTAAGAATACTGACCTAGTTTTGGTTTCGTACCACTTCTAACCTTTTCTCACATGTGCTTGAACTTACTGTTTCGTGGTATGCTAATTATCTTTGATAAACAGTTCAGTGCCCAAATCTACAATATGGTACTAACCGGTTTATAGAAGATCTACACGGTATGACAAGATCAGGATTTTTGAAGAGAACGTTTAAAAGACTGGCTATCATATCTAAATAATAACAATGATAATAATAAACAGATAGACGAACAAAGTAGTGAACAAGAATAATTAAAATTCACTTTCGAATTCCAATGTTCCGAAATTTCAGGCGGGATATCACTGAATAAAACAATCTGTTGATGTTTATGAGATTTGGCCATGCAATATAATTCGTATCTATAACCCTTGATATAATTGGGTGCATCCATGATTACTATAGTCGATTGACTTTGTGTAAGTGCTCGTTCAACCTGATCATCAAGCAAACAAGAATTACAAAATGTAAAAGCATTATGATCGACAGAAAAACATAGGTGTAGTGCTCCTAAGATAGTTGAAAATGAGGAAGATGTTGAACTTTAAAAAATAACTTATTAAAACCTATAAACATATAATCATAAGTCAAGTTATAGCTATCAATTGATCAGGAGATATACATTATCCGTAAATTTCATAAAACACATTCCTTGTAAATATACACTTAACAGTTTAGTGTTAGATCACTGGAAGGAATCAACAAGAAACTTTGAATTTACGTTTTGTCTTAGGTGTCACTTATAGCAACAAATATCTCTAAGTAATCGGTTTATTTCCTCAAAGTACTTATCAATCGATTATGTGCTGTTAATAAGGACAGTTGGATATATTAAGGGAAGTTTATTCATACCTCTGATTTTTGTTGACCGCGAAATTCACGTTCTTTTAGGGAATCAGCATAAATATCACATCTGATATCATAGTTAGTTGTTATTTTCGATTGTAGATTACCACTTTTAAATTCATCCACAATAAGAATTGAATAATGAGGTAAATGTTGCATTAGTATGTCAGCTAATAAAGAGACAATGGTTGATTTACCTGAACAAGGATACCCGCATAACAGAATTAACGGCATTTTGTATGTGTAATAACTATGAAAAAACGGTAATGTGATGAATACTGTTGTTTACTCTACAATATCAAATAAATAAACAAAAGAATTTACAATTAAATGCTATGAAAAATAAATGAGACGATATTCAAGGGAAAATAGTAATTAATAATATACTGTTTAGGTTGAAGTGATAGGCAACTTATTAATTGTTCTTAGAGATTATTATAAACTCTGTTAAACATAAGTTTCACGAACATACGAAGCACAATTCGACAAAAACTATCAACACAAACCACTATTAGAGGAAAATTACTGAATAGGTTTTTCTTTGCACGAATTAATTTCAAGTAATAATTTTCACTTTAAGCAAGAATCCGTACTGAGCACATAGATTTTACAGGGAGTGCATTAGTTTGTTTTCCATTAAAATCATCAACCGATCAAATGCTAAACTATCATTGGGGACCTGGAAGCACTGGAAACGGAACTCCTCAACAGTGGGCGTTCACGATCCCGTATGCAGGACTTAGACCCATAAACTTCGGTCTTGTACGAACACTGAACCAATAGACCATTAAGCCAGCATCCAATGGTGTTAATATATAACTTCAGCCAATCCATGAATAGTTTGGATCTCCCCGATGTTGATGTTAAGGGTCCCAAACGATCAGTATTGGCAAATGCAGATCCTGAATGAATTTACTTGACACTGTCGTCTAGTCAGAATCTTGAATTATGGTCAGCGACGGAAGCCACGATGCACGTTTCAACTTCTTGAAGACTTTTCAGCTGAATACATCTCCATCCCAGTGTCAATATTGCGATTCCTCTCTGCTAGCCACAATCAAACTTCACTAACGTTATAAATTTGTTTCGGGAATTATTAACAGATATACAGACAGTAATTATTCAGGAGAGGTTATTCCCGACCTACAAGAATTTATGAAATTTAAATTGTTTACTCATGTCAGATGAAATCTTATCAATTAACGAAATTTTCGGTTGTTCAAATCAATGAATAAAATACTAATCGATAGATGAACGAGGTGTCGGCTTCTCCCAAGATCATATTATTGACTTGGGTCTCTGAATAATTACCAATCAAATACAAGAACACTAGCCGGATGAATAGTTTTTGATGTAACAAAATGAACATGATAAAATGTCATTGGTGAATGGAGGAAATTAACTTGTACATTTGTTGAATGATAGAGGCATGGTAAGTTTCCACAGCTTAGAGCTATAGTAATCAGCAGTAGTGATTCAAAATTTTTTTAATTTATCAAAGAAAAATGTCTTGGTTTTTTGGAGCCTAATTAGTTGAAAGTCAAACTGTTTTAAAAACACCATCTATTTACAAGTGATAAAGTTTATAGGATAATTAGTGGAGGTCTGGCTAACCAATCAATTTCTGCACTGAAAATAAGCACATTATCTACTAAACCACGTAATGTATATGACAGATTAAGAAAGTAAAAAATGTAAATCGCATTAAACAAGAATATCATGTACAATAACGCTTAACATAATCGTAGCACACATACTAATTAATCTAATGTGAACTAGACGATGTACTTTGGGGTCTAGGTTCATCACTTGCTATTGGGTCGTAAGTTTGAACCAATCTAGCATCTATGACATGTAGCTTTTTATGATAGGTGTGATTTATAACTCTGTCAATGAAAACTATATCTCATGAGGTCATATTATTCACTAACAGCTCAATCCATTTCAGGCTTTGATTAACAGTTATACTACAGAATCGCTGAAAAATCATGGCTTAAAACATTATAAATAATTAGTAATAAATTATGTCTCGAAATACCAACTTTCAAAAAGTCAAACCGGATGTAGCTCATTGTGTTGTTCATAGATTTTTTAATAATGTCTAAATTCTTGGATAAGTCACAGTCACATATATAATGAATGTACAATGGTAATGATATAGTCTGGTGGACGAATTTCAATGTAGGACATTAGTAATTCTCGAGAGAGATCCAATTAAACAGAAAGCTAATGGGTAAACTTTAAGCTCGAAACATGATAGTAATAATAATAACAAATATTACATGTAAGAGATCTCTTTTCTGACAGCCTTAAACATCTGACAACCCGAACTCTCTAATTAATCCGAACAATTATGAATGGACTGACATATAAAATTCTATTGAATGGTTAAACAAATAGAGTCAATTCTATTTTGTTTACATACAAACAGTATTCGTCAATGTGAAATATTTTGCTTTGTGTATAAAATTAGTATATGCAGACCTATGTTTTAATTTAAAAATAAGACTTCTCTTATAAAGGCCCAGTTTATAACCAGTCATTTCAATAGAACATTTATCATACTCAATATCAAAAATATTAATGATCAAGAACACGTTTTATATATGGGGATAATGTGTTTAATTTTGAATTGGCTGTACATTATTCATGTTTTATTCATCAAGTTTAATAAAAACTCATAGAATGCAATGTGAAATCAGGTTGTTTTATTTTTTTCTTAATTCGAGAACAGACAAATGCGTTTTTATACTATCAAAAACAGATATTCGATTGTCATAATCAAAACATAAATTATATCACTCTGGATAATGATAAACTTTTACAGTAGAATCAGCTGATGAACTTAAGATATAATGTATAGGTTTATCATTAGTAAGTAATTTAATTGCAGGCGCCCAATCAACATCTGTCACAATATCAGCATGTCCCATTAAGTCATATAGAGAGGAACGAGGATTACGTGTATCCCATAAACGAACACTACGATCGATTGATCCAGATATAAACTGATCTTGTCTATGAGGTGCCCAAGCAACTGAAGTCAACCAGCCTGTGTGTCCTTGAAATCCAGAGAGTACTAAAGGTGCTTTATAAAATAATTTGGTGGAAAAAGAATTTAAAATAGGGATATTTTGAAGTATATACATGCATATTTCAATATTAGAACAGAAATTTAAATTTTAAAAGGCATGGTTAGGTGATAGATAGTTACAAACAAACAAAAAATGTTTGCTATTCAAATAACCATATTGATTGAATCTTTATCTTTGTACACTGGGTAACATCCCAGTCAGTAAACCATAAAGTCTTACTTTGATCACTTCTCTGGATGGTTAAGTCCTCTGGGATTTTTAATTAGACATATTAGTGCCTTCATCTCAAGGTCTTATTATTCGGTCGGTCATAATCAACGTAGAGCCTGATACAAGTGTGCATTGACCCAAGTTGTCATACCACATTGGGACAATGAGGTGAAATTAACAAGATAAGCATCAAACAAGTCGAAGTAATATTAGTAGTATTGATAGTGAAAAAAGAGATTGGGAATATGGCTTGAAAATAAGTTATGTATGGGAGTGATACGGTGGAAAAGTAATAGGCCTAACAGTTAGGTCCTAAGTGATCGGAAAGTAGTGAGTGACCCATGAACTGATTCCCTTCAATCGCTTGTGAAATGTCCTTTTTTGTTAGTATTTTGTATACAAAACTGTCATCTTATTGCATAAAACGTTTATTCTTCTGGTCAGTAGTTCTATGTTCAGTAATCATTTGCGGGCTTATGTCAATAATACAAGTCTTGTGGGCAGCTATCAATCAGTTACACTTCGTATCATTGCTTACCATCTATCGACCAGTATTCTATTTGCTTACTTTAATGGTCTAAAATTTTGTATGATCAATCAATAAAATCCTTCTGTATAAACGAAGAAATGTTGAAACTCAAGATCTAGAAGCTAATAAAGAGTGGACGTGTCTTGGTCAATGCGACGGGTTCTGTGACGTATCATTCGATAATGAGCACCCCAACTAAGGAATCTGTATCTACCAACATGGTACAAACGAACAGTTAGTAAATACACAGACTAGTGTCATATATTTGTTTGGGCAGCTGCAAACTTTCTTCCAACTTATTTCTACTTCAACCAATTTTGCACATCGAAGTAATTTATGATTCAACATTCATAACATGTCCCGACTATCTTGGTCGATGCATAACTATGCTCAAATACCGGTAACTTACGAATGTAGTTTACCTTTAAAGGTTACATATCATAGCTATACAGTAATATAGTCAACAACCTAAATGAGTAATGCTGTTTTGTTTAAGCCATTATAAGACTTTTATCACGTTACTCCTGTAGAATCTAATTCAGTAGGGTGGGGAAAGTAGTGGATAGTTAGACATAACGCACCCCAAGCCAACCCAGTCAATAACACCTCACAAACCCACTAACCAACATCGCTTTTGCACCTAACATCATCACTGGACGCTTGGTGATCTTATTGGCTACCAACAGTGATTATGAAGAACTTATGATTGCATACCACTAAGTTTCAGGCTGGCTTTTTTACAGACGTGGTAGCAGAGGAAAAACTGGATCATAACATTCTTGTTCTTAATTAGGTATTCACACACATTAGTTGAGTCATAAATGGTAAAAATCAAGCGAATACTTTGCATTCCATCTGAGGTTTTATCAGCTACCAAAATTTGGAAAGTAATGACCAAAATGTCAAAGCATTTACGTCATGCGCAGTGAAATCTCCATTAATGTGGAATGCTTGTTCGGACATTCATCAGTATGCAAAGTACTTTGAAAATTAAATCAAAGATAATGAGTATTGTTAAAAAATAACTATCTTCAAGGACAAAGTTTTTTACGTAATATAATAAAGCTTACTTCTGCTCGTGGATCAAATATTCGAATACAGTTATCAGAAGAAGCAGTCAAAATACCTCTGCTATTGACATCTGCATCATGCAAAGCATGATTGGAAAGTATACACCGGACTTCAGCACCAGTGTTACCTTTGGCCGCTCACAATCCCAAATACGTAGACTATGATCCCAACTGATAGACAGTAGCTGGTTTCCACCAGGCTTTATTTCGCTATCATTAGTAAGAGTGGAAGGTAACCAGCAAATGCGTGTGACAGTTTCCCGATGTCCCGCTAAGGTGAATAACGGGATCTGTAATATATGTTGAAAGGTAAAAAATATAATCCGTAAAACTACTGGAAAATAACAAGTATCAGTGTTACGAACTTTTTGTTTAGAGAAAGTGTATAATAATAGGTAAGAATCACTATCATAACAACTCATTAGAATTCAGTCGTTTAAACATCCTAAAATTATTAGAAGACATTAAATAAATCAAATAATCCATGACACTTAAGAGGTGTAAACTATCTTTTTAAACAAGAGAAAGTGGAAACTTTAGCAAACAGAAGTAGATAAAAAGTGTGATAAATGCTCAAAAAGATCTTACTCTAGTAGGTGTTTTGCTAGTCGATTTCCTCACATGTACAATACCACCTGTTTCTTCAGACAGATCTGTAGGTTCAATCCCTTTAAAAATAAAAAAAATGGTTAATCAATTTATTACTAAATGTCTTGATGACATTTTTGACATATTTAGATAATAAAATACTTTTTTATTTAGGAAATTACCTGCCGACCATATTTTGATTGTTGTATCCCAAGATCCTGTAGCGAAATGTGTTGTATGAGTATCAGAATTATTAGAGAAGCGTGAGGCTGCGGTCATCACAGTTTCAGAATGTCCACGACAAACAGCAATACAATTAACTTTATTTGAACTAAGATCCCAGTGCCATATCTGAGCTGTTTGGTCAAAACCGCCAGTTACAAAAACCGCCTCATTTTTGGTTTGATCTGAAATATTTTCATAAGAGAAAGTATATTAGCAACCAAAGTTTGTTTATAATTAAACTGAAATCAAGCATACATAAAACTAAAGCTAGCTGTTAATCAAAAAGCAATAGATAGATCAAATATATTTTTAAGATGTTTGGAGGTTAATGACAAACATATTTGACACTATGTTACAGAGGTCTATGAAAGTAAATACACGGAACACAATAACGACACAAGTTTGTAAACTAGGGTTTAAGTGTCACTCACTGTAGAGAACGGTACTGAATTTATTACTAGACTTTAAATTAAAGTAATTTTGAACTCATGATATGACTGTTGTAAGCTCAAAACCTAGTTAAAAAGATTGAGGTACGAAAGCCTCCTATTTCGAAAAAAATTCTTTTATAATGCAACTACGTTTTACGTAGTTGCACATTTATGTCTTTAAACAAAACAATGATAACGTCAACATCAACAATTGCAAGATATTTCCTGTCACAGAGTTGTTAAAATGGTTAACGAAATACATAGTTTTTTAAGTTTCATCAACAAAATATAAAGCGGGCTTGAACTATGAGTGGTAGATTTGTACAGAAAAGTAGTACCATCAGCCCTTAGTTGATAGGTAAAGTTCGAAACCCTAAACACGACGAACACATTGAGATCCAGGTGTTTTGAACGCTAAAACAAACAAAGGTGAATGACAAAACAATAGGCAGAGCATGGATCAAACCTAAAGCATACTAAATGATAGTCGATAACTTTAACCTCTGCTCTGCAATGTCAGAATAACTAACATACGTTTGTGCATTCTATCGTGAATTGGAATACCCATTATATAAGAGATAATGATAACAAATAGCTGTGAAAACTTTCGTAGCTAAAGTGTCATTCGAAGTTCAGCTACTAAACCTTACAAACTACTGACGAAAATGACAAACACCAAAGTTAGCCATCATTAACGTATAGCCTAACAAATGTGAATTGGTCCTAATCGCCATACCAAATTAGAACGAAGAAATCAAAATAATACGGTGAATAGTAAAACAGATAAAAGTAATGTAGTACCAATGATGATTAGAAAAGCTAAACCTTTGAAACAAAGTGAAAAGGTACGTAAGGAGGATTACTAGAATTCAAGATCAGCAGGAATATAAAGAGTGAATGTGCCTGCGCTATTATGAACGATTATGAGACATGGCACCCAGCTCGCAGCCATAGGTATCATGCAGACCTCAATCAAACAATCTGCATTTACCAACATAGCTCAAGCAAATAGTTAATGACTTTGTGGATTGATGCTATGTCACTGCTTTCAGCTTTCTTGTAACCAACTGCTACATCAGCAAAAATAGTCCATCGAGGTAGGTGATAGTTGGACATAAGTACTACATACCCTAACCTCACAGTTAATGAAGGTTTACAATTTCCTCAATCGATTCATCACCTTTGCCTAGTAACCTTAGTTTGATCTTGACATTGCTTACTTAGTTGTTCCATGATAAGCGACCAACAGTCTCGAAGACACCATTAAAGAATTAAAAACCAAACGTCTTCTTATAGCTGGTTCCCTTTACGAATTGGAATAAAGGTAGAACAACAGTTGAAGCAGAGCAATATGAACTCCTTATATTTTGTGGTTCTTCATCAGCTGCTTATAGCCACGTGTGTATTAAAGTATAACATAGAGATATGATATAAGGCAATCGACACTGACGATGAAAAGAATTAGAATGACAAGAATTATCAACAATGATTATATATATGCACGAGTAAGTGAGTTTATTCGGAAATGAGATTCAAAATTATAGGGGAAGACGAGGGAGTATTTGAATGATTTTGAACAATGAGGTGGTCATTGTTTACAAACAGAGATTTGAGGGTTTACATAAGTTTAGAAAACTGGTTGAGTGAAAAAATCGGTGAGTGAAAGGATGGTTCTGGCATATATGAAATAAGAATTGGTTGAGCGAGGACTGAATAACAAAATAAACACTAATAACATAATAATAGTAACAACAGCAGGTGATACCAGTCAAAGCTGTGAATTTGTCAAGGCCATGATAAGTTGGTCACTGCCCCGTTCGGGAAACAAATCAGGTTTGAGTCCTCTAATTTCCCCCAAATGCCCTGGTACGGCTCTCACATGGCCACGCGTATATAGCTTTTGCCAGGGAAGTCCTACTCACTCCCTTCTCGTGGCGGAGGTGTTGTTTACGAGAATGAGAGGACGAAACGCGAATGTCCGGTGCTTTAACCGGATTCCAAACCAATGGTTTACATGGGCTCCAGTATCCTAAAGGAATAAATGGCGTATGAACCAGTCGTTGGTCACCGGCTTCCATGGGACTGCATCTCCTTACGATACTCCACTGCCTTGTGGATCAGACCTTCAGGTCAAAGACTCGAAGAGTGGCCCCCTAGAAAACCACCTGCTTCGGTCTGGGCACCCGTGCAGTATCACAGCCCACACACAAATATAATGAGAATGATGGTATTTACTGAAAACTCTATTCTCGCTTCGATTTAAAGTCAAACAATTCACATTATTATTATTATTATTATTATTTCCTACATCATGTATTCACTCTCTTTTATTTCCACTTTACGTGTCCTTATTTTTCGACTTATACAGCAGCTCGTCTATGGTGGAAATTCGGCTCTATCTAAACGTTCTCGAGTCACTGCCTGGTTGAAAATTGTGTGTTACCACCAAATACGAATATTGAAGCAGATTTTCTGAAACCACGTGCACCATTCAAACTGGCTGCCTTCAACGTTCGCACACTTATGCAAGTCGGACAACAGATAAGGCTGGCTATGTCTTTGGAAAGTCTTAATATCGATGTTTGTTGTCTATCCGAGACCCGTATTCAAGACTGGTGAAGTACTACAAATTTGCTCTCCATCTGTCACTTCAAAAAGCTTGTTTTACGTGCGTTTATCCGGTGGCATCTTCATCCCACTAAGCGCTAGGGCTGAGGCACCACTAATCTATTGGATCGCCATTAACAGTCGGTTATGTGCTGTTAGATTAGAAAGTTCCATCAAAGTGATAAGGAATCGGCGTGAGAAACGATGTTTTTTCATCATCTCCGCTTATGCCCCGACAGTTTATTTTATTTATTTTAACGCAAAGATATTGGTACAAGGAGGCACCAAATAAATTACACCACACTTCCTCATTCGATTTGTGTAAGGGCTGTAGTACTGCACTAGCACTCGAACCAAAACAGGTAGTTTTCTTAGGGAACCACACTCTGAGCCTTTGACCTAAAGGTCTGATCCACAAGGCAGTGGAGCATCGTAAGGAGATGCAGTCCATGGAAGCCGGTGGCCAACGATTGATTCATGCGCCATTTATTCCTTTAGGATACTGGAGCCCATGTGCACCATTGGTTTGGAATCAGGGTTTTCCAACCCCCCTAGGTGGACTCTTCATGTCCAACAACCCGGTTAAAGCGCCGGACATTCGCGTTCGTCCTCTCAATTAGTAAACAACACCACCACGAGAAGGGAGTGAGTAGGACTTCCCTGGCAGAAGCTATATACGCATGGCCATGTGAGAGCATTTCGAGAGGGAGAGCTGACTCTCCTCACTCTCGGCCGTACCAGGACACTTGGGGGCAGATTGCAGTCCGGATGCAATCAAGGATGAATTCTACCACCAGTTATCTGTTCTTCTCCAGAAAGTGCGTTCGACAGCTATTGTAGTACTAGCCGGAGATCCGAATGCTCAGGTCGGGCGTCTAAGCACAGAAGAGAGTCGTTTAGGTGGCCGATGAGGACTCGTTAGTTGCAGGTCAGATAACGGGAACCGTGTACTGCTACTGTGCACAGACCACAACCTGTTTCTGGCTAGCACAAACCTTCGGCACAGTCATCGCCGATGTGCCACCTGGCGTCCACCTTCTGCATCTGAACCCTGGACTCAGATTGATCACATCGCGATCAGCTACCGCTGGCATGGTTGTGTACAAGACTGCCGCTCCTTTTGGAGTACCTATCTGGAATCTGATCATGCACTGGTCTGCGCCAATCTCACCTTACTTTTCAGTGGCCAACGAAGTAACCGCCACCAAAAAATGGATGTCAGTAAATTGGTTGTGATGTGTTCACCATCATGTATTGGTGATTGTTACGATGCAATGAGTTGGTGTAGACGATTATGTGACTTCCACGTACGAGTGAAACAATCTGCGAGGATAACGGGATGCCAATCACCAACATCCATCGACGTCTTGGTCGACGGGCAGAATCCTTCGGAGGGCAGTTCAAATGGGCCGCTGCTCCGGCAACATCAATCAGAATGTCCTGCCCTCCATGGCCGGTGACGACTGATCCACCAAATGAGGCGGAAGTCCGCAAGGAACTCCAACTCTTGAAGCGCTACAAATCACCTGGCCCAGATGACTTACCTCCGACTCTTTTGAAAGATGGTGGTGACTTTCGGACTAAGGGACTGACGACGCTGTTTACAAAGGTCTGGGAACTAGAGAGTGTACCAACGTCATGGAATGAGTCGATAGTTGTCCCTATCTTTAAAAAGGGTTCACGTCGTTCCTGTAACAACTATCGGGGGATAAGTCTACTTCCGATTGCGTCCAAGCTATTGGCTTCCGTCATACTTCGTAGGTTGTTCTAAACCCGAGAAATATTGACTCGCGAGGAGCAGGCTGGTTTTCGTTCTGGTCGAGGATGTATTGATCATATCTTCACCCTCCGCCAAATGTTAGAATACCGTCATACTTATCAAAGGCCAACAATCTTAGTATTTCTTGACATCAGGGCTGCCTTCGATTCGTTGGACAGGACTGTTCTCTGGGATTGTCTATTGAAGAAGGGTGTGCCTGAGAAGTTTATTAACACCTTAAAGACCCTATATACAAACACCTCAGGTAGAGTGTGAGCATACAACCACATTTCTCCATTGTTCCATTCAAGCAGTGGGGTTAGACAGGGTTGCCCAATCTCACCACTCCTCTTCAACTTTGCCATCGATGACATTCTGGAAACAGCTCTGATGGATGTAAGTAATGGCGGTGTGGATCTGCTGCCTGGAGAAAGACTTCTCAACCTTGAGTATGTGAATGACATTGTCTTACTGTGCGATAATGCTCAAGCCATGCAATCCGCACTTAATCAGTTGGCAATCAATGTCCGTAGGTATGGTATGTGCTTTGCACCTTCGAAGTGCAAAGTACTTCCACAAGACTGGTAGGATTCTAATCCTGTACTCACCCTGGATGGTGAGCAGATAGAAGTAGTCGAGAAGTTCGTGTATCTGGGTAGCTGCATGAGTGCTGGTGGGGGTGTGAGTGATGAGATCAATGCACGTATAGTGAAAGCCAGAGCGGCTTATGCCAATCTGGGCCATCTTTGGCGCCTTCGTGATGTTAGTCTGGCTGTAAAAGGTCGGATCTACAACGCGTCGGTGAGAGCAGTTTTGCTCTATGAGAGGAAGGGGTGGTCAGTGTATGACATGGTATCGTGGTATGAAAGAAAGTTGCAAAGGGCTGGCTTCTGTTGGTCCTTCACGATTCCCTGGTTGGGGTCCTAGAGATGGTGCGACACAGTGGCTAGAGACGTTGTCAGATATGGCTCAGAATAGAAGCCAGTGGCGATCATGCTGTAACCTTCTTTTACTTCATAAAAAGTGGATGTATCTTCCTTAACTGAAAGATTTCTTCTGGTTATACCTTTCCGTTTCCCCCATTATTATTATTATTATCATTATTATTATTACACTTCCTTACACTAATCTGGTCGTTATTGTTCCTATTCTTTTTCTTCTTTTACGCCCCTTACCTCTTTTTTCTCCTCATTCTCATTGTTTTGTGTGGTGCATATATATTTGGTGCCCCCTTGTACCAATATTTATGTGTTCAAATAAATAATAATAAATAAATAATCACTCTGGGTGATGGATGATACAAACCAGTCCAAAACATTCTATTGACACTCAAGCGAGCCGGAAGACTGCTTAATTTCTGTATCTCCACGGAATACCACTATATCATTTGCATGTTATATGACTTATAAATGGTTGTCTACGCAAGATACTCAGCATCCATTGGCCGGATACCATCCGCAACAGCCTACTGTGAGAGGGAACAAACCAGATTCCAGATGAAAGGAAATTAGGGAAAGACGGTGGAAATTGATAGAACATACATTGAGGAAATCACCAAACTGCATCACGAGGCAAGCCCTAACTTGGAATCCTGAGGGGAAGCGGAGAAGAGGAAGGCCAAAGAACACGTCACGTCGGGAAATAGAAGTAGATATAAAAAGGATGAATAACAACTGGAAAGAACTGGAAAGGATTGCCCAGGACAGGGTTGGATGGAGAATGATTGTGGGCGGCTTATGCTCCCCTACGAGCAGTAACAGGCGTAAGTAAGTATTCTATGACTAAATTAAATAAAAAGGGAAGTAGTAAATAGACCTAACAAACACCACCTTAGGTTGATAGTTCGCCACAATCTCCGAATTGAATAGTAATGTTTGAGTAGACTGCCTTTAAAAAGTTTATGTAATTCCTTAGTACGCCTTTTAATGACGGACAATGCCATATGACCTCTTGGTCAACGAAGTCGAGCGCCATCCTAAGGCCAACAAATAAAGCTGTTAAAAAAACATATTCCTTTTATACAGTCCCCGTTTTTAATTCGAATGGCTATTACTTCTGCACTTTAGTCGGAATTAAGTAACCATGCCTATGTTACAAGAACTGGTGAAGTAAATGTTTAGTCAATAGATCCGCGTCCAAGTCTGAAACCAGCATGCACTTGCTGGTTTGGCTCCGCAAATATTCAGAGTAATATTTTACAAACAGATCCTTCAGTACAGAAATGTACGAAGATTTACTTCTTGATAATCAAAACATAATATTCAAGTCGAGTTTTGAAGTAAACAACTTCGAATTTTTAAACCACAAGATGAAAACTATTTGAGGTTCTAAGAAACTTGAATTCTTAGTGACTTATTGTCTAGAACAATACATAAAATATTATCAATTCGCATGCTAGTTTTAATGGAATCGACAAAGATAGCGGTAGTTAATGGACCTATTTGATGTTCAGTTATCATAGATTATTTTCAGTTTTTGATAGCTGAAAAGGGTAAAAACCGTGTTAAGAGTTGTTGTGTACTGAACAGGTCTGCTAGGATGTGATGTATCTGTTTCTGTCAAATTTACAAGTCAAAACTACTGTTTCTTATTTCTGTTTCATAATTACGCTATACTGAGCTTACTTTTTCTGTTAACCTGGATTATCATTTTACAACACTCTGGTAGACAACATCATGAATACAAACACATTTTTAACAGAATGAAGGGTCGTTTAGAACGTTTACACTACAAGCCTTAAATTTTATGCACAGAGGTTTGTTGGGAAATCTGAGAGTCACATAACTGGAAGCCAACTACAGAAAACACTGGATCTAAGTATTGTGTAGGAACGCAAAGATTTAGACTTGGTTTAACCAAACAGATGTTGTCAATGAACTACTCGGGGCAGTGGTCTTGAGTATATCAAGGTGCACAAGTGACCTTAATGTTTCAAATACGATTTTCCTTCCGATAATTAAGATCGAAATCGCTCATGGCTTCTGGACAATCGCCCTCGTACAACATAATATAAAAAAGTGCTGAGTGATTCTCTTTGGGCTCCTTTCCAGTTGTTTTCAATTGTAAAAGAGAGCCCAAAAAGAATGACTCTGAAATATTTGATATCATATTGTCAAGAAGCGAGATTAGGTCAATTAGTTTGATAATGACATTATGTACTTAGAATATAAACATGACCCCTAGGTAACAACCAAGTAGTATAGTTTATATTATTCACTACGAAGTGACTACAAAACTTTGGTGAATTCCCTAAATCAAGCAATAAGGAATATATATTTGTAACGCATGATAATACTACTAACAGTTCAAAACAGCACATATGCCCCCTATAATTGTGAGTCCTGGTAAATCCAAAATCATTCAAAGCTATATTGATTCTACATATTAATATGACCACATATAAAGGTGCTTACAAAATCCAAGAGCACAATAGGAGACCTACCGAGACTGAGCCATTCTACACATTTAACCTTTTCCTCCAACTCCATAGATAATATGGCACTTTTGCTATCCAAGCTCCATATATGCAATGTACCATCGTAACCACCTGTTAGAATGCTGACAAAAAAAACAAAACAAATTCAGAGAAAAACGAGGAAAGTTAGTCGATATCAACCGGTTGAACAGTGTGGTTTGGGTTTCATGATAATTTAATCGCTATCCTAAGTGGTGAAGTGTGAAAGCATAATATTTTAGTGTCATTAGCGTAATTTAAGACGTGTTCTGGTGTATCTGTCTTACAAGAGCTAGGATATAACTGTATACCGGCACATTTACTGATAATCAATCCGTGGCTTTAAATATCACATCACTGTAGAATTGTTTGAGGCTGTAGCCTAGTGCTTAAAACACATAAACTTCAGAAATAGGTCAAAGGTTTGGACCGCATCTCACCTAAGTCAGAGACCTGGTGAAACTACTAACCCCAACAATGTGGCTTAAAGTTAAGTGAACGAAACTTGACTGGGCAAACGGGTAAACACAATCAGCGTTATGTGTTAAGCTACTCGTTTGTCACAGTTACAGTATATACACACACGATAGAGTAAATAACTAAACTACGGTTGCTACTTATTGAAGTTCTAAAACCAATATGTAAGTTTCACAGGTACATTTTGCTTATTTAGAACATGGCAAAACTTATTACATTCGAGGGCTCAAGCAGCACGTTACATACATTAACCAAATAAGCTAATTATATAGGCTACACAATTTGTTTTAAACTCATTAGCAGATTATCTATAATTACAATAACTAACACAAACAAATAATTTAATAAAAATAAAAGTTATGAATTAAGAGTGTAAGACCAACTATCTTTCCAATTCAGTAGTCACGTTATCCGAGAGCTAATCATTTTTTGACAATCTGCTGTGAAGTAAAAAAACAATGTGGTATTAATTAAGCGAGTTGCTAACAATTACTTTACGGATTTGCAACCACCATCAGTCTGCTACTGAGTAAATGTTTAATCAAAGATCGCTTTTACCGTCTTAATTTTATAACCTTATTTGACAAAATTATTAAACAATTATCAGTAGGAAGCATTAACCGCATTTTAACTACTTACTAATTATCACAGCGTTTGACACAGCTGATCAAGTCATCCTGTACATATTCTCTTTCGTATTTTGGTGGTTCTTGTTTTGGACAAAACTCAATGTCAATGGTTTCCTAAAGCAATGACATCTAACTAAACAAGGACTCACAGATATAACTTCTTTTTCTGATAGGTATTCATGCAGAGTTGAAGTTAGAATCAAATTGTCCACGAGGAACGTAAACTCCGGATATGTCCTAGACTCTCTGGTTTCTGCACAATAATGTGTAAGAAAAGCATATTACCATCTAGCAGAACTTTGACTAAATTATTGAGTTCTTCAACAGTCGTGTGTTGTGGTACTGCAATCGGTGCGGAGGGAACAGAATACCTTGGAGGTATTTCACAGTTTTATTGAAGACCTACTGTTTGGATTTCGTGTAAAAAGTTATTTGGACGTTCTGATCCATTGGTGCACGCCAAATGGTAGCACAAAAGCCAAATTCACCGCCACAAACAGCTACGATTTAGATTTAGATTTGGGTAGAAAAGACAGAAGGCCTACGACATATGTAATCCTTTTCTAGTAAGCTTCTGATGATGTCTGATCCACTCTTAGACGAGTCAATTGAAGGGCCGGACACCACTACTTTAGGTAGCAGGCTCCAAGTAAAAATGGTTCAAATGGTTGTGGACGGAATAGAAGAAGCTTTCGCTTAACAGGCTTCCGTGTCTAGTAGCAGGGGATCACCAAATCCTCCAGGCAGGAACCTAGGTATGTTAACAATAAAAGAGGAAAAGAAATTGGTAAATCATAATGTGATGCTGTCCTTGGTCCTTAAGAATAGGTCAAGTTGCCTCTTGAAGGACTCCTGAGAAGTCGCTTGGACTAGCTCGGCCGGCAGCGAATTCCAGCTTTTGACAACTCTTAAGGAGTAGAAGTTGTGTCTACATTCCGTCTTGCTATGTTGTGTTTCCAGTTTCTGGGTGTTACCCCTTAGGTTATTATTCGAACTAAGCTTAAGTAGGTGTTTAAGAGGATGTCCAGAAGTGTTAAGAATACTATAAGCCATTAATAAATCACCTCTAAGACGCCTATATTCTAATGGGTAAAGGTCTAGTGAACGGAGGCGTTCTTCGTAAGGCTTAGATTTGAGTCCTCGAACTGATTTCGTGGCTCGCCGTTGGATACGCTCCAAAGTGACCTTGTCCTTTTGGAGTGAGGGGGGAGTACTATGTTTCCGTACTCTAAATGGGGACGGATAAAACTATTGAAGATTGTGTGGAAAGTTCTTCCGTCAAACTGTCCAAAAATGCGCCTCAACGTTACCAGTGCAAGGTTTGCTCGGAAGGCATTTTTGTCACAGTTAGCGTAAGACTTTAAGTCATGGGGCACCAGGACTCCTAAATCTTTTTCGACTTGGGATACTACTAGAGAGGAGTTTCCTAAGTTGTAACTGTAGTTTGCAACATGTCGCAGATGGACTACTTTACACTTTGAAGTGTTAAAGGTAAGTCCGTTATCGTCTGCCCAACTTTGAAGTCGAGTCAGATCCTCCTGAAGTGCCTGTGTATCGTCTTGGTTGCGTATCTCTCTCCAAAGTTTCACGTCGTCGGCAAAAAGTAATAAGTCTGACGTTACCTGTTGAGGAAGATCATTTATGTAGATCAAGAAGAGAAGAGGCCCTAGTACTGAGCCCTGGGGGACCCCACTAGGACATTCCATAGCCTGAGATAAAGTGAAATTAACCCTAACCTTAAAGTGTCGATTTTTTAGGTATGAAGTAAGCCAATCGATTAGAGGTGGTTTGATACCTAGTCGTTTGAGCTTGTTGATAAGACACAAGTGGTTAACCTTATCAAAAGCTTTTGAGAAATCAAGGTAAATGACATCAACCTTTCCCTTGCAATCGAGGATGCTTGTCCATCTGTCCACCGCAGTCAGCAGGTTGGTTATACAAGAGTAACCCTTCCTGAAACCATGCTGTTGGGGTGAGAAGAAATTTAAGGACAGTAGATAGTCATTTAAACCGTCGCATATCAGGGACTCCATGAGTTTTGAAGGTAATGACAGAAGAGCCACCGGCCGATAACTTGAAGGTTCATTGCGTCGACCACCTTTGAAAATTGGTGTGATGTGAGCCAACTTCCAATTTTCCGGTAATTTGCCTCGGCTAAGCGAGTGTGAAAACATCACGCTAAGCGGCGTTGCCAGGATTGAGGCTGCCTCCCTCAGTATGGCAGGATGAACCATATCCGGGCCAGGAGAAGTGTCAAGTCTTAAGTGCTGCAATTTCCGGAACACCAAGTCAGCGCTTAGGTCCACTTCAGAAAGTCCTGTGGAATTGCAGATGAAACTGTCGTCAATAAAGTTGATGTCAGCCGGTTGAAATGTTTGAGAGTAATGTGCCGCCAGAAGGTTAGCGGCGTCGCCATCGTTGTTGGTCGGGCCGTTAAGACCTAGCAGTTGAGAAACTCCTGTTTTGGCTTGACGAAGAGAGGCTGCATAACGGAATAGGCTTCTAGGGTTAGAGGCGAATTTGTCCATAAGCTTTGTTTGGTACTGAAGCCTGTCTTCTCTTATAGCCTTCGTGCATATGTTCCTGATATGTTTATATTGCCTATACGCTCCATCGTTATTAGTTCGTTTGTATTCCGCCCAACAGTGCCTTTTGCGGCTTAGCAGGCGAAGGGTACGGTTCTTGATTACTGTAGGTGGCTTGCAGCTTTTGGGAACCGTTTGAGGAACTGAATGGTCTGTGCAGTAAGAAGTCCCAATGACCATCCACATCGAGTTGAGGGTGAACATCCCAAACCACCTGTTGTAGATAGTCATGTAGAGCTGGCACATTCAGCCGTTTAAAATTCCAACGCAAATTATTGTTGGGATACCTTAGCTTAGTTTTGATGACAAAACTGAAGGCTATGACGGCATGATCGCTCTTTCCCAGAGGAGCCAGGATTGAGAGGTTGTCGACTAGGAATTCTTCGTTAGTGAATACACAGTCTAAGCGCGATGGTGTCTGACTGTTTCTCCAACGAGTTGCCGACCTCACATTTTCATATAAGCCCAAGTTATCGATGAGGTTGAAGAACCGAGCTTCAATTGAGTTGTCGCCTCCAGTGTACGTGTGTTCCGCGAAGTTGACTCTAGGGAGATTAAAGTCCCCTAGAATCAGGATGTGTGTGAAACCGAGACGGATAGAGCGGGATAGTCCTTCCAGCATACGACTATCGTACTCGATGTCGGCAGTTGGCTTCCTGTAAATGACTCCGACTAGACACCTCGAAGTACTAGACAATCTTACAGAGCACCATATGGATTCCTCAAGATTGTTAAACTCGAGGTTGTGAACTGGTGCACCTCCAAGCAAGAGCTTATGTATATGGCTACTCCGCCCCCAATTCCTGTTTTTCTGTCGTTGCGGAACAAAGTCATCCCAGGTAATGCTAACTCTTGGTCCGAGAACTGAGAAGATATCCAGGTTTCAGATATTCCTATCAGATGGGCCTTATTAGCGTTGCTAAGTTCACGTAGTTCATCCAGTTTGTTTGGTAGACTCGCGGCGTTCATATATAAGCAGTTTATGCTTTCAATTTGGAACGCGTGAGCTTCGTCCTGTTTTTCTGTATGAACCTTATGTGAATGGACAGGTAGCCCACCTATATGAGGTTTGCCGAGGTGGTAGGCCCTGTCCTTTACACGTTTTTTTATCGTTTAGACAGTCCACAAGTGGAATGGTCAGCTCCAACTTGCCTTTGTTCTTGGTCCTAGCTTCGTATGGCCTATCCGGGTGCATGTGGATTCCAGGTGGCAATCGACGTCTATTAGCACGAAATGCTTCCAGAACTGCAGCCGCCATGTGGGAAGATGGGAAGGTTATCTTCATTAGACGGGGTCTAAGATCACCGTCCTTCTTGGCTAGTCTCGTCACATGCTGAGTCAGTATGTGTTTGAGCCTCAAGGACTGTTTGATGAATTTCCATTCCCTGATGTCAGAATTTGATTGAGTAGGGTCTGCATTTTCCGGTATACCTTGACAATTATGTTTCTTCCGCGGAAAAACTTCTCGCGAGATTCTTTAGGGACGTTTCGTATGATATTGCGCTCAGAGTACGGTATGTCGGGCAATATTCTTACGTTACCATCTGATTTCAGCAAGTGACTTGCTAGCAAGACGTCCTCTACGTCGGTAGCATTCTTAAGTGTTACTCGGAGAAGCCTCGGGTGATTTAGATGCTTAGAATCCTTTCCTCGAGTGAGCCGGGTGACCGTCAAAGGCTCTATTCTAGGAAGTTCGAGCTTCTTGTTCAATTCACTGAGTGTGAAAACCTGTACGTCTCGCGGAACGCCACTACGTACATGTTTCCAGAAGAAGCACTTGGAATTCATCTTTACTTTCCGTCTATGAACTACCAAGGAATCTTTCAACCATTTTAGGGGTTCCGGCAATGCCTAGATTTTCCAGCCACAAGAGTAGTCTATTTTATGACGCCTTATCAAATGCTTTGCTGAAGTCTATATGAACGACATCCACCGATTTATCATTGTCTACCCACCACTCTCTTGCTACGGGATTTGTTGAATAAAGTAAACCTTTTGTGAAAACATTTAGTTCCCTGTATAAAAAACCCTGGCTTCCACGAATGACATTATGTTAATTTTAATTATTATTTTCATTATTTTAACTACTGCAGCAGTGACGTTGACAAGTCTTTAGTTTCATGGAAGTTGTTTTGATCTTCTTTGATATGCTGGAATGACAAATACATCATCTCAGTTTATATACCACAAATGGTTCATTCCATGACTTTATTGTTGATACGGACAATATTAAGTCCATAGTTTCATTCAAGAACTTGGAATATTTAGATTCTAACGTTGCTGTACAACCTAACGAAGTCTCGGTATTACTGGACACAAACTACCCACGCGAGGTGCTACGAACTGCTAATAAGATGTGATAATTCTTCATACATCAACCCCCTAGTTGGGTAGTGATGACCCTAAGGCGTGGCCAGCCAGAAGTTTAAGCTCAACGATTTTGCCTTTAGTAAGCATTCTTCTGATAGCTTGCTATGTTAATCAGCGTCTGGTCGTCTTTGCTTACTGTAACGGATCATGTAGTACAATATAGTAATAAAGAAACAGGGTGCAGTGAAAATTTCGGTTCATCGTAAATTTCGTCGTTCTTTTTTCGTCTTTTCCAGTCGTACAGGAAAAGAAAAAATGATGTGTAAGTGCACGTGCGTAAAGACACAAAGCGGGCGAAAAATGGAAAATAAAATCATGCACAAGCGATAGAATGTTTTTTTAGTTTTCTGATAAAACTTTTGATATACATATATTTGCGAGCATATTAGCAAAAAATCTTGTATTTTTTTCAGAACAACTATATAAATATAAGCATATTAAAATTGTTTTTTATATTATATACAATACAAAGAAAAATCGGGAAGAAACAAAATG